CCAAGAGAAATAAATGATGATTAAGGTCGTACAGTGGCGATAGATACCATTATAGGTCTGGAAGTTTGGTATAAGTATTTGGGATATACTGAATATCGCACTTTCATTTTTTCTATATTTGGTATTACCGAATTTGTCTATATTTGGTATTATCGAATACACGTATTATTTCTTGGGATTGTGATTCAATTTCAATTGTTATTCGGTATTAGGGATTACGGGATTGTGATTGGTATATACCGAAATATCGAACAATGCCGAAATATAAGCTAGTGTGCATTTTATCCTCTCAACTAGACTCTTCTCATTCACTACTACACGACCCTCAACCACCAATCTCTTGTTATTTTCATAACACCAAAAAGCAAACACTAGTATTAGTCTTCTCTCAACCTCCAATTCGTCAAATTAAAGATTATCAAGAACAAAAACTTGATTTGTCACCTCTCCTCCATTCTCTTATCCATATCCTAGCTCTAGCCAAACTCAAGACTTTTTGCTTACTCTCTTCCTATATTAAACAATCAAATCTAATTTATATATTTAATTATTAATTGCAAACGTAACTAATTTCATATTCAATAATATTGATTGGGATACCGAAGTACCGATTGGGATACCGAAATATTTAGGGATTGAGATTGAGATACCAAAATTATTTAGGAATTGGGATAATGATTGATTTTAGGGTGCAATTCGATATTTGAGATTTCGATATTTGGTATTGGGATACCGATACCGTACCGATTTCCACCCCTATACCAATGAGGCGGTAACATCATGAAAAGAAAATATTAGTGTATTTTTGCTTTTCTGTTCATTTTCTTTTAGGGGATATAGAAAAGTATATTAGCAAATAAATATTCAATTCATAAATGGTGGTGGATTCACATGGAGCCAAGGGATGGACTCAATAATTTATTTAACTTACACAATAATTAGTACAGAATTCAAACCATATAAACTACAATACACTAATTTTATGTAGTTTGTGTTAATACGTTTTTATATTTTTCTTATTTATGTCGTCACAAATTACAATACGGTCTAATAAAATATGGAATAAAAATTATCTTTTTTGGCCTACTTGCATAAAACCTACGGATTACGAGCCATCTTCCAGACTTCAACCATATCTTCGTCGTTATCCAGTGATGACAGTGTTGTGTCAATTCCGGGGAGCGTCGGGCGTTGATCAGGTCTCAGTGCATGCATTATTAACATACGTGTCTCCTGCAATTACACTCTGTAGAGGTCAGTAGCTGTTTTATGCCTTTGGCCCTCTCTTACCGTGCTTCAATCTGCTCAAGATTTTAGTAAAATTCGGGGTTTTTTTCTTCTAGATCGCTACTCTACATCCACAATCAGTTGGTTAATTATAATTAGGGCCGCAAATGAGTCAAGCTGCTCGCGAGCTCGGTGTTCGACTCGAGAGAAATTCGTTCGAAACTCGGCTCGTTAATAAACGAGCCTAACATGAGCTAAGCTTTGTTCAGCTCGTGAAGCTCGCGAGCTAGCTCGACTCGGTGGCTTATTGAGCTAAACTCGTGAGTTGGCTCGTTTAGAGCTCATGATATGTCTCAACACGTGGTTAGAGAGCCAACTCGATTACCTACTTATGGACGAATCAATCTATATCTTATGATTTTAATTCATATGGTTGTTAAATTATATATCTCACCATATATAAAGTTTAACACGTTGAGTATGTGAGCAAATATATCTTATTTTCTACTTTAAAAAAAAATTATGTATCATAGATTGCTTCGATACTATGAAATAACTGTTGGGAAATCAAAATACGGTGGAAACTGTTGTGTATTATTACTGAAACCACGTAGGGTTTATATAGAGTACAGAGACTGATTTCTATAATAACTCTAACACTAATACGAAAATTACCTAACTTTTATGACTCTAATAAGGAATATAACTATGACCAATTACATAATAGTATCGTAGTATAACATAATACTACTCGTACTACCCATACTCTAATAGTAACATGATTTGGAGTAGTTAAAATTTATTAACTAAATGATATGACACCAACAAAGTATAATATATATGAGATTAGCTAACAAAATAAATCATATGTATCATGATATAGAAAATGCATGAAATACCAAATAAAAGTTAAGATTTTAGTAAACAAGCTAACTCGACTCAACTCGGCTCGTTAATAAACAAGTTGAGCTCGAGCTCGACTCATTTATTAACGAACCGAATTAAAGCTGGGTAAGAAACGACTCGGTTTTAGAATAATACATTTAATTAGAATACATCACATCAATTTTGTTAACTACTTAATTTCCTAGTTAAGTAGAGGTATGTTTGGCTTCTAAAAGTAATTACATTATTTAGTAATATTTATTAATAGAGCGTTTTAGACCTACGAGTTTAAACAACTTTTATGAATGAATTCTTTCTTGTGAATAAATAATGAGAACAAGCATAAAAATGGAGAGTAAAAAAGTGTGTCAAGGTAATTGAGCATCTATGATACTCTTTAGAGAGTGAAAAATTATCTAACAAAGAGATAATCAACCTTTTTAATCTCATCTAGCAAAGTAATATGACAAAATGGCAACAAGGGGAAGATCTCCGTCGAGATTCTAATCACGAAGATCTTGATTTGTTTTGAGTCCTATCTGTTGACAAGAGTTATGGCCGAACACCGAATTCCAATCATTTCTTCCAAATCGGCGGCGTTGGCGGTGCGCTCAATACCTCCAGTACCCAGACCCTCCAGCATCCGGGTAAGTTGCAAAAGCGGCTTCGCTGGGGGCGACGGCGACGGCGACGGAAGGAGCCCCCTTGGAGATGGCGGTTCGGTATGTGCGAATTGGGCGTCTGATAAGGTTGGCATTCCTCAACTGACTCATCACTAGCGGACTGTGTCCATTCAGCTACTGTTGGTAATTGAAGGAGCTGTTCTGGAGAGGCAATGGTGGGTTCGCCGCCGTTGTCCAGAATCTTCCCCAACCTCTGCGCCTCCTGTTGGATGTCAATCATGAAACCTTCCGCTTGAGGAAAGGAGAAACCCTCCTCTTCAGCTGCTGCTTCTGCCATCAGGGGGTCTCTTGGCGAGCTGCACAAAGAGTTGGTGATGGAACCAAAATTTTGGCGGGACCAAACGTTCCAATCAAGCGGGAACCACCGTCTACAGCCTTAAAGTCTCCGAGGCAGAGGTATATAAATCCGATTCCTGTTGGCCTGATTTCCATATCTTGAAACCTTTTGGCCCCAGAATTCAGCACCTATCTTGAAACCTTTTGGCCCCAGAATTCAGCACCTAATTTCCGGAAGATCCTCCCGACACTCTAGCCATGAAATCTGCCTCTACTTAGTTTCCCCTGTTACGAAGTCCTGCCACCGGAGGATTCCTAGCCGTGACCAAACTCCGGCGTCGATTAAGCTAGCCGCCGATCATGACCGCAGCTGAACCGTTACGTCATTAATGGCCTTGTATGCATTTATCACTCTCGGATTCACTAATAGAGAGTTTAAGGCTGTAGTAAAGCCTGGTAAGCGTACCTTTAGGGGCGCAATTGGGCCAATTAATTGCCCAAAAAGTGATTCAAATTCACAGAAGCCATTTAATGAATATAATGGAGGTTTGAGATCGGTGCCTTCCATCCTAAACGGTCCGGCAATTAATTCTGGGCATAATTTTCTCCTTTCCTTAGCGCTCCTTAAGCCCGTAATTAGAGGCCTTAATGTGGCCCAATTATCAAAAGGCCTCTTTCTACGATCATCTAGACTAAAACCCATTAAAATCCCAAAGTTAATCGGACCCCCGTACTCTCATTCCAGCCAACCGAAACCTTTCCCCTGTTCTTCGATAGTAAAAACAGAGAGCTTTCTTTCCTTACTCTTCCACACTATGGCTGGGACAATAGAGTTCAATGATGAGGTATTGGAAGCCGGCCAAACCAGAGCGCGCCTTAGCTTGATAGGCCGTTTGCTGTGCTCGTCCCACCCTTCCAGAGTCCGGGTTCAACATACGGCTAATAACCTTTGGGCGAAAAGAGCCCCTGTCACCGTCTTGGATGCAGGCCATGGGCTTTTCCAGCTGGTTTTCTCTAATGCGACCGATCAGCAGGAAGCCTTGGGGAAGGCCCCGTGGTTTCTCCAATCTAAAATTCTCACGCTGAAGAAGTGGGAATCTCCCTCCGAACGAGTCTTCCTTGAACTCGCAAGAGTTCCTTACCTTGTCCAGCTCTGGAATTTGCCTGAAGAGTACAGAACTGTCGCACTCGGAAGGCTCCTAGCATCTCGCCTGGGTTCTGTTATGGATGCTGGAATGTACGCTGTCTGGGAAAGCCCGGGATGTGTGTTCAAAGCCAGGGTTATGATTGACGTCTCGTCCCCATTGCAACATCGCCTGGAAGCCAGGAAGAGAAATTCAGACGGCTCGTTGGGGGATCCTTTCTGGGTCTCTCTCAAATACGAGAATATCAAGTCAGTCTGTTTCAGGTGCCGGCGAATCGGCCACAACCAAAGTTACTGCTCATTCGACTTGGTGACAGGGGATGATGGGTTCGGTCCGGAGATTATTGGGAATCGTACTGGCCCGAGGCTCGACGAAAATTCCTACGCGACAGCACGCAAAGGAGGACGTAATTGGGGTGGAAACGTCTGGCGGTACGGCCCCCGGCCTTCACCACAGCCTCGATCAAGCACGCTGCTGCTTGAAGCTCCGTCCAGGGGCGGCGACAGGAGAGTCGACGGAGGAAGCATCACCCCGTCTGGCTCCTTTAGGCGAGGAAGAAGAGGTGTTTGGGCCAGGGGCCATCTCGAGGAAGCGGCGGAGCCCGCCAGAGTTGGGCCAAGGGTTGAGGTGGCCCATCCAAGAGAAGAGAATGGCAGCGGGTCATTACAGCAGGGAGTGATGGCCGAGCCATCTAATCAAATTCTTGAGGGGCCCATTATGGAAAAGGCCCAGCCTGGTCAGCAAGCAATGATGGAGCCCACCCCACTCCAAATTCATGTACCATCACCCTCCTATGGGTTAGGTAATTTATATTGCAGTGAAGATCCTGGATTTTTATTTGATGATTTTGAAGATAATCTCTTGTTTGAATCTCAAGGAATGGGGATGGATTTCTTTGATAATGGAGGTATGGATCAATCTACAGATACAGCCTTTTCTTGCTCTCCGTTAGGGTGTGCGGCGGATGGAAAATCTAAAGGGAAGGCAATTTTGATAGAATCGTCAGAGTCCCCAAGGGTCTATGTTCGAAGGAATATTGGAATCTGTATTCAGGAACCAGAAGAAGGAGTGGTCAATTCCATACCAAAGAGTCCAGGAGAGGACACCAGCAAAGGAAAAAGGGTGGAGGTAGCCAGCCCCAACTGGCCCCAACAATCGAAATGAATGTTTTTGCGTGGAATTGTCAAGGGATAGGGAGTACCTTGACATTCCAAACGCTAAAAGCTCACCGAAATTTGTCTAAGTCTTTCTTATTTCTTTGTGAAACAATGTCTCCGAGAGACAAAGTGGAGTCTTTCATGTCTCGTTTAGGATTTTCAGATTGCTTTCCTGTGAACCCTACCGGCCTGTCGGGGGGTCTAGTGTTTGGTTGGCCACGTGGGGCATCAGTCTCGGTTATTGGTTCAACCTCTTTTTTCATTGCCATTTCGGTCATAAATAATAACTCCCTTTGCTATGGTGCGTGTCCTCGTTTTGTGCTAATAGGGGTTTATCTTTCTTATAATGTCACAAGTCGGCGCTCACAATTAGAAGAGCTTAACGGGTTTTGTTCAAGGCTATCAGATCCATTTCTAATGATTGGTGACGTGAACTGCTCCCTATCTCCGTCAGAAAAATCAGGCGGAGCCCACTGGCGAATGGATAAAGCCCGGCCTCTTTGGGACTTTCTAAACAATTTGGGCTTGATAGAAGTGAGGTTTCAAGGGCCAAAATTTACTTGGACTAACCGAGGTAGAAATGGTATACTAATCGAACAGAAAATTGACAGAGCATTTGTTTCCACAAACTGGGCGTGTACCTGGCCGGACTCCTGCCTTTACCATCTTTCAGATAAAGGGTCAGATCACAGACTCCTGTGCCTCATGACTTCACCGGAAATGTCTAGAGCTAAACGTCTATTCCATTTTGACATAAGATGGATTCGAAATCATGAAACAAGACTCTTAATTGAGTACGTCTGGGATGCACCCATAACTGGGTCCCATCAATTTTGTCTATTCTATAGATTGCTCAGAGTGCGTCACACCCTAGTTGATTGGTGCAAAGGGGGGACCTCTAACTCAGCCAGACTTATAAAAGACCTCAACCTAGCTCTCGATGATGCACGCAAAAATAGCATGGTGAATTGGACTCTGGTACGGTCCCTAGAAGAAAGACTCGAAGTTCAATTTAGAATGGAAGAAATCTATTGGAGACAAAAGTCGCGAGTCAACTGGCTAACAGAAGGGGATCGTAATACTCCATACTTCCATATGATAACGTCAATTAGACGTCAGGCCAACTTTATATGGGGACTAGAAGATTCTAGTGGTCAATGGCACACAGATGGGGACCGGAAGCTGAGCATCGCAGTAGATTTCTATCAGACCTTGTTTAGCTCCCAGCTTAATGAAGGTATTGACCTGTCCAATCTGCCATTTGAAAGTTTAGTCTCTGTAGAACAAAATCAATATCTCGTCATGAGCATCACTCCAGAAGAGGTAAAAGAAGTGGTTTTCAGTATGGGGAAAACTCAGGCTCCTGGGCCAGATGGATTCACAGCAGGGTTCTACCAAGCTTACTGGGATATAGTAGGCAAAGATGTCACCCAAGCAGTTCTAGCTTTCTTTCACTCTGGGCATCTATTACGTTCAATTAATAGAACTTGGATATCGCTTGTTCCAAAAACTGCTGAAGTGAGATCCATGAAGCATCTCAGGCCTATTAGCCTCTGTCAAGTAATTTACAAAGTCATAGCCAAAATCCTGGCTAATAGGCTAAGCCGGGTTCTACCCAGCATAATTTCTCAAACCCAGAATGGCTTTATCAAAGGTCGCCAAATTTCCGACAATATTTTAATTAGCCATGAGATAACTCATCATCTCCGAACAATGACCTCGGGTCAAAAAACATGGATGGCCCTTAAGCTAGACATGGAAAAGGCCTATGATCGTGTGGAATGGCCATTCCTCTTTGGAGTTATGAAAGAACTTGGCTTTGATCAAAAGTTTATATCATGGGTAAAAGAATGTGTCACAACAGTTTCCTACTCAGTTATGGTGAACGGAAACCCCTCTAGCTACTTTCGCCCGTCAAGAGGACTTAGGCAAGGAGACCCTCTGTCTTCACTGCTTTTTGCCATCTGCACAGAAGGCTTCTCAGCCATGATAAGACACACTATAGCAGTAGGCTACCTGGAGGGTGTGAAAATCCGTGCTTCTTGTCCGATGGTTTCCCACATCTTTTTTGCGGATGATTCATATCTCTTTTTAGAGGCTTCTCCTCAGTCTTGTTCAACAGTTCTTTCCCTTTTTCAAGCTTATGAAGGTCTGAGCGGCCAGCGAGTAAATCTTCAAAAGTCAGCTGTCTTGTTTAGTCGCAATATGAACCCAGACCTAGCTGGGATACTGGGTGATCAATTGGGAGTAGGTAGCATTGGGGAACATGATTATTACTTGGGTCTCCCATCAAGTATTTCTAGATCAAAGAGAGAGGCCTTCCAATTCATAGAAGAGAAGCTCATTAAAATACTTCAAGGATGGAAACAACGTGTTCTGTCCAAAGGTGGTAAGGATATTTTAATTAGAACGGCGGCCACCAATATCCCAGTACATGGTTTGTCGTGCTTCAAGATTCCTAAAGAGAATTGCAAGAGACTAAATAGTCATGTGGCTAAGTTCTGGTGGGGATCAGCGGATAATGTAGATCGGCCATTACATTGGGTATCCTGGAAAAGCTTGGCACATAGTAAATTTCACGGAGGCCTGGGATTTAGGGACTTTGGGGCCTTTAATCAAGCATTGTTAGCTAAGCAATGTTGGCGAATCTGGAAAAATCCGAATTCTCTCTTGGCAGCCATCTATAAGGGTCGTTACTTCCAAAATGGGTCAGTGTTGGATGCGAGTCTAGGATCCAACCCTTCTTGGGGATGGCGAGGTATACTATTTGGAAGAGATCTCCTTTTACAGGGATTAAGATGGCAAATTGGAGATGGGCAAGATATTGATGCCTTCAAAGATAAGTGGGTTGCTTCTGATAAACCCATCTCTCCTTTGGTCCGGCTCTCGAACATAACTAATTCCCCGAGAGTTTCCTTTTTCATCAAGGAAAATAGAGGTGAGTGGCATGTCCCAAGATTACAATATTGCTTTGAATCTTCAATGGTCAACCTTATTTGTAAAATCCCACTCCCTAGATGTCCTCAAAGAGATGTGAGAGTTTGGCATTTTACGAAAAATGGCCTTTATACAGTCAAATCGGGTTATCACCTAGCTCTTGACATTTCATTATCCGCTAGTCGAAAACCTCTGGTCCAAATCATTGATCCTCCTCTCTGGAAGAAAACCTGGGATATTCCAACTCCTCCAAAACTGAAATTCTTTATCTGGCAGTGCCTTAGAGTGATACTTCCAACAGTGGTAGCTCTCAATTCTAGAGGGGTAAATTGTCTTGTCCGGTGCCCTGTGTGTTGGAGAAGACCGGAAAGTATTGAACATCTATTCTTCAAATGCCCCCTGGCCACAAGTTTGTGGTCGCTTATGGGATTAAATGATTTCATCTCCTCGGCCCCGACTGTGAATTTCAGTCTCTGGTGGCGACATGTTATGCTTTCCGAGCACCCCCAAACCCATATCCTCCTATTCGTGTGTGTTTTATGGAGGATCTGGAAGTCTAGAAATAAGGTGGTCTTTGAACATGTCCAGCCTCTTGCCCAGTCTCTAGCTCGTCAGTGTTTTTTCCAAGTTCAAGAATTGTCTTCCTCCCTCCCTTTGGTCCCTGCTCCCCTGCTCCAGCCGTCCCTCTCTCGTCGCTCTTCCTGGTCCCCTCCTCCTGTTGGCTCTCTGAAGATTAACTTTGATGCTGCTGTTCGCTCCTCTGGTTGCTCGTCTGGTCTTGTGTTACGTGGTTCAGACGGGCGGGTGGAGCTGGCTGTAGGTGCTCTTCACCCTGGTATTGCTGATCCCTACCTTGCAGAACTCCTTGCTGCTAGAGCCGCCATTTTCCTTGTGGTCTCCAGGTCGCTCTCCCGGGTCATCATTGAAGGAGATTCAGAGGTGGTGATTAATCAGCTGCGTCGTGGCGTATTATCCGATTCCATTGGAGGACCGGTGCTTCGGGATTGCTTCCTTCTCTTATCTTCATTGTCTGTTTCCTTAGAGTTTAGGGCAATCCCCCGGGCTGCGAACAGGGCTGCCCATAGAGTGGCGCAGAAAGCCCTGTTTCTCTCCCCTTTAGAGTTGTCTTCTTTTGACTTTGTGGATTGGCTTCGTTTTTGTACGGGTGGGGCAGGGTTTGGGTAGTGTGTATAGGTTCTTTCTTGACATTTCTTGGAAAAAAAAAAAAAAAAAAAAACGTAACTAGGAAACCAAAGTTTCAGGCAACCAACCATAATTTGGAAATTCAATTCATTTTATTTTAAAAAAATTAGAATATTATATACAAAACACAAAATTCATTGCAAATGAATTCTACAGAGTAATTCCTTTTAAATTGAAATGAATTTTTGATTCATTTGGTATCAAATGATCTTTAATAATTTTTTTTTGGAGAAAAGCGTATGCTGGAAATGCTGTGTGTATGGGATCAATACATTTCTCCTCAAGATTTGTGAAAACCATACCGGACTGTACCGAGAAAGTCACCAATAGAATATTTTATGATAAAACCGTAATTTAATTGTAGTTCAACCGTTAATATTATTAAATATCGCTTACAAGTTCAGCCTCCAATATTAGTATTTTACGACTAAACCATCAATACGGTATTATTTCACAAACCATCTTCCTCCTTGGTTTCACAAATGATTTGGGTCATTTCATATACTTAGTGCATTGTTAATTTCCCACAGGGTATATTGTATTTGGTTAATTTCGCACATCCTTTGCTTATTGTTTCTGAATAGGCTCGTTTTGCTGCGCTACACTTTAATTTGCCTCGTAAATTTCCTACCTTCAGTCCAACTTGTCTTACAGTCTGTCCCATACGTGTCATTATTATTTTCTAAAAAGCATATCTATCCCTTGAATATCAATTATTGTGTACTGTCGAATTCAGGACAGGTAGTCCGAATTATGGTATTAGTGGGATCAATACACGTTATTATTAATACTCATGGGTTCCATTCCATTCTCCTAATTTTGTCGGCAGCCGGCTGCGTCAATGTTTTAATTAATGCGTTCCACCAGCTATAAATACGCCAAACCACTCTTTCCTCCAACTCCAACTACTACCTAGCCTAAAACACACTGTTCCCATCAGCCAACTTTATCTCGAGAATAAAGTTTTTTTTTTCCTCAAAAAAACTTTATCTCGAGAGAGAGAATTAAGATGGATTCAGAGGGTGCAATTAACAACAACAACAACAACAATAAGGTGCCGAGATGGACGCCAAGTCCGACGAGATCGCCTCCGCAAAAGTCCTCCGACGAGGACCGAGAAGCTGTGGCACTCGCAACGTTTCCCTTCTCCGATCATCAGGAACCAACTATGGAGACGGAAATGGAAGCTGTGGTACTGGCCCGGAAGGAAGATCATCACCACCATCATCATGACTACAGCAACAATAATGATTACGCTGATCATGATGACGATGATCAGCTGGGGGCGGCGGCAGACGGCGGCGTTTCCGTGACGTGGAAGGATCTGTGCGTTACAGTTGGCGGCGGTCAGCTGACGATCCTGGAAGGGCTGACGGGATACGCGGAGCCCGGGGAGGTGCTTGCCATCATGGGTCCTTCTGGATGCGGCAAGTCCACCCTTCTCGACGCTTTGGCAGGTAATTGTCTTTATATATTAACCCGCAGCACCAGTGGCTGAGCCAGAAATTTGAACCAGGGGCTAAAATTTACGTTCAAGATGTTTGAGTCTGGGAGGAACTAAAGCCTTATAACCTAATCTATTTTCCAAGTTTGTTACAAAATTTATACGTAAATTTACACGATTTTGAGAGTTGATGGACTATAACCCCTCATGACTATAAGGTGGCTCCGCCACTCCACGGCACGATTAATTTAATTTTAGGGTAAATACTAATTATTAGCCAAATGTTGGATAGATGTAAGTCGTATATTGCTGACTGGAAAACATACTGTAGGAAGGTTGAGTTCAACGGCGCAACAACGTGGAGACATCCTAATCAACGGTCGGAAAGAGAGGCTTGCCTATGGGACCTCGGTATGTCATTCTCGGAACCAGTCGCAGCATTTTCCCTTTCTATTCATTTTTGGTTGCTGCCAATTGGAGCACATATATAGTAATTTACTAGGCAAGTTGCTTCCGAATTTGGTCTTTCCTGATAAAAAAAAAATATATATATATATACAGATGATAGTAATGGACGGCCTAACTATTTTTCCCTGGGTTTTGTTTTTCGTTGACAAGTTAGAAGTTGACTTTGGCAATACGAGGTCAACCTGTCGTGGAACTTAGTTTACTGTGGATCACAATCTGATGTTTTTCATTCTTATGTCTCTCAGGCTTACGTGACACAAGACGACACTCTAATGACGACTCTAACAGTGAAAGAGGCGGTGTACTACTCAGCACAACTCCAGCTGCCAGATTCCATGTCGATCGCGGAGAAAAAGAAGCGAGCAGAGATGGTCATCAAGGAAATGGGCCTCCAGGATTCGGTGAACACTAGAATCGGTGGGTGGGCCGTGAAGGGCCTGAGCGGCGGGCAGAAGAGGAGAGTCAGCATATGCATCGAAGTGCTGAGAAGGCCCAAGTTGTTGTTCCTGGACGAGCCCACCAGCGGGCTGGATAGTGCGGCCTCTTACCACGTCATGAGCCGGATTCTGAAGCTGGCTCGAAACGACGGGATCACCGTCGTTGCTTCAGTTCATCAGCCTAGCAGTGAGGTTTTCGAGCTCTTTCGCAACCTATGCCTTCTCTCTTCTGGAAGGACCGTCTACTTTGGTCCTATTGCTTCAGCTGAACAGTTTTTCACTTCAAATGGTTTCCCCTGTCCAACTCTGAGAAACCCTTCTGATCATTATCTTCGAACCATCAACAAGGACTTCGATCAGGTAATTATATCACTCATATCATGTACTCCTGCATTGAAGTGGTGATTAGTTTCATTCTCAAATCTTGTGTGTTATGATGATATGTTACCAGGAAGACATTGAACAAGGGCGCGGTGGTTCAGTGACAACAGAGGAAGCCATTAACATTCTTGTTTCTTCATACAAATCATCGGCGATTCGACAGCAAACTGAACAACATGTTAATCGCTTATGCCAGCAGGTACCTTTGATCAAATTCAATAAGGTTTTTTTTTTTATGTCTTTGATAAAGAGATTTCCAATTAGGGAAATGTTGAGGTGATCCTTTTTTTTGTTGGGGTTGCAGAAGAAAGGAAGAAGCTTGGGGAAGAAAGGAGGGCAGGCAAACTTCTTCACTCAATGCACTGTTCTTACCCGGAGATCCTTTGTGAACATGTATCGTGACCTTGGCTATTACTGGCTTCGTCTAGCAATCTATATTGCACTGTGTTTATGCGTTGGAACTATATTCTATGATGTTGGCCTTAGCTTTGGCTCAATTCAGGTATTTTACTTTTCTCCACTAAAAGAGCTCAGAGATCTATGAAATTGATGGAATGAAATTAATTTACTAATGCAAATTTTGGTGGCTCGAATTTTTAGGCTCGAGGTGCAATGCTCATGTTCGTCGCAGCATTCTTGACTTTCATGGCGATTGGTGGATTCCCTTCTTTCGTTGAGGATATGAAGGTAACTTGACTTGTTCATATGCCTCTGTAAATTTGGGGCAAACTCGATACAAGAGTTAACATCGATAAGGTTCAATTGAAAAATCGGTCATCAAACTTGGAGGTTATCAACAAATAGGTCACCAAAATTTTATTTAACCAATTTGTCTCTAAATTGTAGAATAATTAGGTTAAGACACTCTTGATCTATCTTTGTGATATTTTATTGTTCAAGGTTTCTAGTTTATACGAGTCAACTCACTCAACTTAGTAATAAAAGGGGTATATCTGTATATGTATTGTATCTAACTAACTGTTGAGTAAGAGAGGAAAAGATCACTGTGGGTTTAAGAATTTACGTAATATGGTTTTTTATTGGATCGAGATAGCGAGTTTGATAAAGTACATATGAGCTAAACGAGATTGCCAAATATTGCTCTAGAATCGGTAGTTACATGTGTTATATTTATTAGTGATTTGTCTTAGTTAGCACTAACACAAACCTAATTATTTAAAAGTTTAGTAACAAGTTCATTATTTATATTGATAAGTCTATAATTAGTGAATCCAAAGTTATTTTTCAACCTTTCAATGAGAAAACAACATTTTCTTCTGCTAGTCTCCAATTATATATTTGAAAAATAAACCACAACCTCCCTTTTTACTAAACATGAATGACTTTGTGCATCTATGATGATCAGATATTTGGGCGAGAGAGGCTAAATGGGCATTATGGAGTTGGAGCATTCGTGGTTGGGAACACATTATCCTCCATTCCATACCTCTTCCTAATATCACTAATCCCAGGAGCCATAGCTTACTATCTCGTGGGACTTCAGAAAAGCATCGAACACTTCACATTCTTTGCACTTTTGCTATTCGTCACAATGATGCTAGTGGAGAGCCTCATGATGATGGTGGCGAGCATCGTGCCTGATTTCTTGATGGGGATCATAACAGGAGCTGGAATTCAAGGTGTGATGATGTTGAATGGAGGTTTCTTCAGGCTACCCAATGACCTTCCTAATCCCTTTTGGAGGTACCCAATGTACTACATCGCATTCCACAAGTATGCGAATCAAGGATTCTACAAGAACGAGTTTGAAGGGTTAACATTCCCCAATCCTCAACAAGGAGCTAATTCTTCCATCTCAGGTGATGAAATTTTGAAGAGTGTTTGGCAAGTAGAGACGGGGTACTCTAAGTGGGTTGATATCGATATATTGTTTGGGATGGTGGTTGTTTATCGGCTCATGTTTTTTGGGATTGTGAAGCTTGTTGAGAAGGTTAAACCAATGTTGAAAAAAAGAGTCGGGTCATCCAAGCAAACTAGCCCTATTGTAGAGATATGACTTTATATTTAAAGTCAATGGCTATTTATTGCCTTTTTATGTGCCATTTGCATTTTCATCTTTATGTTGTATAACAATATCGACAATTACTCTCCTATAATTAAAAAATAATTTTTTTATGGGCATGAAGTTGCTTGGCTAGTCTTTTCTCCTCTAGTTCAACATATACATGTGAAGTTTGTTCAAGGGAGCATATCCATATATGTTGATCAATATAATGATTGTCAATACATTAATGCTCTCCAAACTCAATTGAACATATTACAAAATGAACAAAATTTATGAGTTGTCTATCCCATTGCTTTTCCAATTTAACTCCTTATTTTTATAACTAAGATACTTTTACTTTGTTAGAGTTTGAACATAATCAACATTCGCATATAATTATTAATATGAACGAACCAAAAAAAAAACTTTTTCGTGCTAAAGGGAGAAGGGATGGGGAACAATAAGTAATGAGCTTAGTGTTAAGAACTATGATCTGGAGTCGAGAAAATCAACATGAAATTATAAGGATTTTTTTTTGCCATAGAAGGCAATTTTGATTTAGAGGTAAGCCTAAATCCATCGCCAACATGCTGAGGTCAATATACTGAACTCAGTAGCAGAGGGCGAGTCGCGCGGCAAGGAAGTTGTAAATGTAGGAACTTATTTGTCATATTTGGCTTCACCCCATTCGCATAAGTGGGAAAAATTTCAAGATATACATCAGTATTAAGGTCCAAATGGTTTGTATTTCCAACGGCAGGTTGTATGTGAGTTTGATTGGGATCTCAATGATTCAGAGGTAAGAGTAAAATTGTTTCACATTGTTCCTCTTTTCTGTTACGCTTCGAATAAGCAATTTCAGAAGTAATCTAACCAAGGTTTAAACTATAGTCAGAAGCATCGAGCACATGCTACATGACATCATAATTATAGGTTGTCTTGAGGCTATATGTATAGCACAACATGACTGCTTGAGAATGGTTAATATATTTAGGCGGTTAACATATTAATTCGATTGAATATGGCCTATTATGTGAAGAATCAAGTGAAAGACGAGTTGTAAAAGTATGGAAAACATCCTGGGAGATCAGCAGCAATAGAATGTGGTCTCGTTGCCGCAAGAAAATTATAACAAGTGTGTTTGCTACAAGAAGATTTTCAGAGACTGTTGTGTTGAATCGTTGAGCGCGAGACGATTCTGCACGAGGTGTGGTTTACCGCTTCGATTTTGTCGCTAATCCAATTCCTGCAACAACCTTCGTCGTTCTTTGACAAGAGCAAGTAAAAGCCAAATGTTCTAGGGATTTGATCGATAGAAAGGGGAAAGTGCAAATTGTCGTTATAGTAAGTCAGGCCTTAGGCCCAAATAACTTAAATTGTGCCGCAATGGGTTAAGCCCAAAACCAAACTTACCCAACTAATAATTGAACAACTAAACTCACAAGTTAGGCTGCGTTTTGCGAATTGGCAGAGGGAGCTTCTTCTTCTTCCTCGAGCCTTGATGCCTCCTCTGTTTTCTTGCACTTTCTTAAGCCAACCAAAAATAGAGCAACACACACATTAAGGAACTCAAATCACACACAAGGACACACGATATTTTTACGTGGTATACGGCTAGCAAGGTGCAAAGCCGACTAATCCATGGCCAGAAGTTCACGATCCTGTGACTTCTAACGTTCCACTATTTTGATGTTTATATCTTGAGGTTCAGCCAACATAAATTTCTCTCAACACTCACTGTCGAGCTAATCCAGCTACAGTGTTTCCCCAACACTACCCACTTGAGCTAAATTTTCCCCGAATTCGTCAAGCCCTCTTTTCTTATCAAATTACACTAGCAAGATTCCTTATGCTGCTCTCTCGGTCAATTTGATCTCCAGAATAGTGGCTTTCCTTCATCCAGAGCCTAGCTCTCTTATACTGTCTTCTTTTCCATCCGCTGGAGCCTTTATTAATTCTGATTGCCACCATCTGTGCTCCTTTCCTTCTTTGTCTCCAGGAAAGCTTCTTTTCTTTCTTTGATTTCTTGGCAGCTCCTTTCCTTCTTTGGTTTTAGATCCTTTTGAGCCGCTCTTTCCTTGTTCGCTCTTTTTCCATAGAGCCGTTGACTGGCTTCATTCAACAAACTCCCCCTAAGCCTGTCAATCGCTCTTGTTGACTTTTCATGTACCCTGCATTCACTTAGCAAACGGTTGGTGCAGCCTGTTCTACTTACGTTCATGACAAGTACAAAGAACACACAAAGCACAAAGAACACAAATACTCATTTTATTCATTATTGATGAAATTAAAATTAGATCCATTATGGACCAACATTTTAACACGAACTAACCCTATTCAGACTCAAGGCAACCTGATCCTACAGCCTATGCTTTCAAGGCAAGTTTAGACAACTCTGTCTACATCTTAAAAGGGGTAATCAGGTGGTGAATCATAATCTGAGATAGCATCTCCGTTCTCAGAGTCTGAATCCGAGATGGGTTCCATGACAGGCTGATCATTGTGCTCAGCTTTCAGCAACTTCAAACGTTCCTGGACATTCAGCAAGTCCGCATGCACCCCTCTTTTTCCTGAGCTGCTACTGGAAGTATCCTCCTGATAATTATTGATTTCCTTCTCCACTGCCACTGCTGCCGCATCTACCAAGGCATTGACCAGCATGTAAAGGTTTAACATAAAATGGCCCACGTCTCCCCCCTGAGCCGGCGACAGGCTTACGGCGGCCCACATCCATATCCAGATGATTAAGGATGTGATTTGGGCAGATATCATCAAGTACATCGCAGACCGTAACCTTGTCTCGCAAGTCAATGCCCAGCCTATGAAGAAGGCGGGTGATAATAGGACCAAAGGGAAGTTTCCCATTGTAACTGCCATCACCAAAGCAGAGCATATGAGCAAAGACCAGGGAAGCATAGCTAATACGCTTGCCTGCTTTTGCATTAGAGATGATCCAAAGATCGGATGGGTGAAGGAACTCAACACTAGAAAGGTCACGAGGAAGGAAACAACGGGTAATGAAGAAGTGGAAGACCTTAAGATCATTTGGTAGCCGTCCGGCTGAAAGCATGTTGGGGTAGTGACGACCAGTGTCACGAGTAAAGACATTCAGGGCCATGTGATAATCGAACCCAAGATCTTCAAACTCACCATTAAAACCAGTTTGATGTCCTGAGTGAGGAAGAGAAAGGAAACTAGCAAGGAGAGCAGGGGTGATCGTGATCTCGTGATTGAATACCTTAGTGGTAAACAAGGAGGGTTCAACACCACGCCCTCGTTTGATGTTGACATAGAACAACCTGACAGCTTCAGGACAATGGCTGAACCTTTGATGTTCAAACATGGACTCCCATCCCAGATTGCGTATGAGAAAAGGGAGGTCCATGTCATACTTGTTGAAGGTAGACGACTGAATGGAGAGAGATGGATAGATGGGTCTATCACGAAACCGATTGAGGTACGTAGCATAGGTAGCAGGGTTGCGGAATCCTTTGTTGTTGAACACAACAACATGATGAAGCTGAGGGTTGTTGGGAGCCATTTGTGCTTACAGAAAATTGTGGTGAGGTTCACAAACTCGAGTGAAGGTATGGGAGATAGTGATGAAAAGATGCAAAGGGAGGGAGCGTATTTTAAAGGACGGGAAGTTGAAAAGATGGTATGTAGTGAAGAAGAATAGGGAAAGGAAGGGTTATGTGATATCCCTGATATTTTGCTAATTAAGAGCGGGGATTTCACTGTGAGAAAATAAGCCAAGATCTCGTCGAATTGGCAAGAATTTGTCAGCTCCTAAAGGTTTGGTTAACATATCTGCCCATTGCATATTGGTGCTAGTGAATTCTAAATGAATCTTTCCTTCTTGCACCTAAACTCGAATGAAATGGAATCTTACCTCAATATGTTTTGTTCTAGAATGTTGTATAGGATTTTTTGACATACTGATAGCACTGGTGTTATCACAGAAGATGGGAAGAGACTCTAATTAAAATTTGTAGTCTAGAAGCTGATATTTAAGCCAGAGAGCTTGAGTACAACAAAGCCCTGCAACTATGTACTAAGCTTCGGCCGTAGACAGAGCTACTGAACCTTGTTTCTTGCTAGACCAGGAAATTAAAGATGTACCCACGAAGTGACATGCACCAGAAGTACTTTTTTGGTCAACTGTACATCCAGCGTAGTCTGAATCAGTATAGCTGAGAAGATCTAGACTAGAATCAGACGAGTACCACAGTCCTAGAGAAGCAGTGCCTGCTAAATACCTAAAAATTCTTTTGACTGCAGAGAGATGGATGTCCTTGGGACAACTCTGGAATCGTGCACACACACACACACACACACACACACACACACACACACTAAACATAATGTCGGATCGACTTGCCGTGAGATACAACAAGGATCCAATCATTCCTCTGTAAAGTTTGTCATTTATTTTAGTACCAGATTCATCCTTGGTGAGTTTCACTGTTGACCCCATAGGGGTAGAAGCCGATTTAAGGTTTCCTAGATCAAAACGTTTTAACATGTTCAGAAGGTATTTAGTTTGACTAATGAAAATGCCGTCAGGAGTTTGCTTAATTTGAAGTCCAAGGAAATAACTTAACTCCCCCATTAAACTCATTTCAAAAGCATTTTTCGTGGTTGATTCAAAGGATTTACATAACTTTGGACATGTAGACCCAAATATTATGTCATCAACATAAACCTGAACAATAAGATAATGTGGACCAGAAGTTTTAATGAACAGGGTTTTGTCCACAGAACCTCTGCGAAAGCCTTCATTAATGAGAAAATTACTTAATTTTTCATACCAGGCTCTAGGAGCCTGTTTTAACCCATATAAAGCCTTATTAAGTTTATACACATGATCAGGGTACATAGGGTTTTCAAAACCAGGGGGTTGTTCGACGTAAACTTCTTCTTTTAAGTCACCATTCAAAAACGCACTCTTGACATCCATTTGATATCATTTAAATCCTTTAGCAGCAGCAAATGCACATAGAAGTCTAATAGCTTCAAGTCTAGCAACAGGAGCAAAGGTTTCGTCAAAGTCGATTCCTTCCTCCTAATCATAGGCTTTAAGCACAAATCTGGATTTATTTCGAGTTATAA